CCCCAAAACCCCAAAACCCCAAAACCCCAAAACCCCAAAACCCCAAAACCCCTAGAAATTTTGCTATTATTGAATTTTAAATGATAAATTCTTTGTAAATCAAATATTTAAACTATTTATCATCAAGCTTCTTTTCTCTTTTACCATTTTCCCAAACTCCTTTAGTAGTTTTTCCATCTCTTGAAATAAATTTTCCTTCTCCATGCTGCTTTCCATCTCTCCATTGGCCTTCATATATTCTGCCATCTCCCCATACAAATTTTCCAAAGCCATTTCTCTTATCACGCTCGAAGCTTCCTTCATAACATTTCTTATCCTTCCAAATTAGTTTTCCTTGACCTGACATTTTATTATCTTCCCAGTTGCCTTCATATCTTTTACCATCTATCCATTCATACACTCCATATCCATTGATCTGGTTATCATCAAATTCACCATTATACTGAGATCCATCAGCAAATATGAGCAATCCTTTGCCATGTTTATTTGCCTTTCTTGTATTGGCCATCATATTTTGCATTATCAGGCCAGGTTTCTACCCCATGGCCATCTTGTTTGTCATCCTTCCACTCGCCTACGTATTTCGAGCCGTTTGAGTGAGAATAAGTACCTTCTCCATGAGCTTTGTCATTCTTCCATTCTCCTGAATATACATCACCATCAGCATGGTGAAGTATTCCTTTACCATTAGCTTTATCATTCTCCCACTGGCCTTCATACCTCGATCCGTCTTTCCAAACTTGGGTCCCTTTTCCATGCCGCTTCTGGCCCTTCCATTCTCCCGTATATTTAGCACCATCTTGGACCTCCACTTCTTCTCTATTTCTCAATCTTGGTGTCGTCTCCTCTGTTTCTGCCTACCTTCGACTTGGCCTTCTTATTCTTTACTTCTTCTTTATACTCCCCACTGGTCTCTGGTAACTTCTCCATATCATTTCCTAAGCTATTTCTTAATACTTCATCATCCATTGTTTTTACTTCGTTTGCGCAGTTTCCTCAGAACGTTGTTCAGGTCGGCCCCATTGGATTTAATATTTAATATCAATTTAAAAAAAATTGGGGTTTAGGGGTTTTGGGGTTTTGGGGTTTTGGGGTTTTGGGGTTTTGGGG